CCGGGCCCCCAGCGCCCCCCTCCCGGGGGCGATCCGATCCTGAGGGCGGGTGCTGCTTGGACGGTGGCAGACGGACGGGAGGGACAGCGAAGGGTCCCCCTGCTGGGGGATCCAATAGGAGTTGGACTCACGATCACGATGCGAGACCTCGGAGACTTAGCGACTCAGCCTAGCTAAACCTCAGCTTTCTCATCTGTAAAATGGAAACCTATCACTGCCTCTTCGGGCGTACGATTGCCCGAGAGGATGAGAAAAGACGTCTATGGAAGGTCTCTGCGCTAAGCACCTGACCTGCCTTAGCCAGTGCCTGAGAGATGCCTGGATTGGAGAAGACCTTCCGTAAAGGGGAGCAACTATGATGACTCCCATCTCCAAACCTTTCATTAACTCATCCCACAAACATTTACTGAGTGCCTACTCTGTACCACGGAACTGCGCCTCGGTTTTCTCCTTCCTGAAATGGAGGTACTATTAGCATCGCCCTCGTAAGCCTGGTAAGGATCAGTGAAAAAAGATTTTTTTTTTTTTTTTTTTTTTTTTTTGTTGTTGTTGTTGAGACGGAGTCTCCCTCTGTCGCCAGGCTGGAGTGCAGTGGCGCGATCTCCACTCACTACAGCCTCCTCCTCCTGGGTTCAAGTGACTCTCCTGCCTCAGCTTCCTGAGTAGCTGGGACTACAGGTGTGCACCACCACGCCCAGCTAATTTTTGTATTTTTAGTAGAGACAGAGTTTCACCATGTTGGCCAGGATGGTCTCAACCTCTTGACCTCGTGATCCGCCCACCTCGGCCTCCCAAAGTGCTGGGATTACAGGCGTGAGCCACAGCGCCTGGCTCAAAAAGTTTGTTTGTTTTTTTTTTTTCGAGACAGGGTCTCGCTCTGTCACACAGGTTGGAGTGCAGCGGTGCCATCTCAGCTCACTGCAGCCTCGACCTCCTGGGTTCAAGTGATCCTTCCACCTCAGCCTCCCAGGTAGCTGGGAACACAGGCTCGTGCCAGCACACCTGGCTAATTTTTAAAGTTTTTTTTAGAGATGGGGTCTTGCTATGTTGCCCAGGCTGGTCTGGAACTCCTAGGCTCAATGATCCTCCTGTCTCTGCCTCCCAAAGTGCTGGGATTACAGGCATGAGCCACTATGCCCAGCCTAGAGAAATTAATGTTTGTAAAACATCAGCTGCAGAGCAAGGACTTAATAAACAGTAGCTCACCAGCTCAGGTTCATCCTCCAAAAATAAGGACCACCGACCACAGTACCTCAGGCCTGTGATATCTGCCAAAGGTTTAGCCTAGTTCTTGGCAAGAAATAGTTGTTGAGCAAGTGGTCTCTGCTGTGATGGCCAGCATCCCCACAACACATACACAGGCACAGTCTGCCCTGCCTTCCTTCAACAGGCTTATACGGAGCACCTACTCTGTGCCAGACCCTGCACCAGACATCAGCGACAGGGCAAGGAAATATACGGAAGGGAACTTAGAGATTATCTTGCCTAGGATCTTCCCTTTACAGATGAGGAAGCTGAGGCACAGGGCATTTCCAAGATTGCACAGCAGAACTAGAACTCAATCCAGGCTCCTGCTGCCCAGCTCCTTTCTTCCCCTGTCACACCTCATTGCCTCTCTGGTCTCCCCCACATGCCCCCCAGACAGTCTATTTTGGCCAGGAAGCAGGAGGACCATCTCCCACCCATGCCCGGCCCATGTGGCAGGTCCAGGGGCATCAGCCTCCTTGGACCTGTGTGTCTTATCTGCTCAGTGCTGCCAGACATTGAACTGAGGTCCCCGGAGGTCAGGAGCCTCCCTGCCTCTCTCATTCTCTCTCTCCCCTCCCTGGGCTCCCCTCTCCATGGGTCTGTGTCTCAGTGGCCCCACGGAGAACACCTACCATGCTTGTTCTTTTTCTGGTCCTCCTCTAGCCCAGGCACACCAGGGATCCCCAGGAAGGTGTTATGTGAGTTTCCGTACCACACCAGCAGTTCCTGGTCAGGCGGGATCATCTGCAGGGAGGGAGGCAAGAGGAGGTCAGGGAGGCAGCAGCTGGGAAGTGAGAGTTGGGGGTCTCTGAGCACCCCTTCACAGTCAGGAGACCTGGACCCAGTCTCAGCCCTGAGAAAGCCACACAGGCCCATTTCCACTGAGCTGTCCCGGCAAGCTGCATAAACATGGAAGACCCTGGGGTGTCAAACCCCTCTGTCCCCCTCTCCCTGCCCAGGCCATCTCTGTCCATGCTCTGGCCACAGGAGAGCTTCCAAGCTGACAGCACCAGAATGGACACCTCACAGCAAGCGGAAGTAACGGAAGATGGAAAATTAGAAATCTTTTCAATTCTTACGCAGGAGAACTGGAGTCAGCCAGCCCCCGGGGCTGCAGGGCTGAGCCAGATGTTTCCAAGAATTGTGGGCTGTGGGGCACCCTAGGGTACTTGGCTACACCCTGCGGAAACATCCCTTCTGGAAACATCTCTTATCCAAAGCTTCCATAGACACCCCACATCACAGGTACTTCCCGACCAAGCACAGGGCTCTGAGTGTCTCCGTGCACATGGCAGATGCTAAAAAAGAAGCATTCGGATGGATGAACACCTCCACCCCAAGAAACATTGGGGTACACTGTCTTACACAAAGTCCAGTTCACCGCGTCCTAGGTCAATGACAGCGAACCCCACAAGTGATTTGGGGGCTCTGCTGCTCTCAGGGAGGACCTGCTCCAGGCTCATGGCAAAGGATGTTGGTCAGAGGGTTTTGCAGTGATGATCCAGGGAGGCATAAGGGGCCCGCTCCCGGGGTGGCACTGGCCATAAATACCACACGCTCCAGGACATCCCACGGGGCCTGCCAGACCTCTCATGGAAGCCAGTTACCCCTCCCAAGTGGGGAAGCTCCAGGCCCTAGCCAGGCAGGGCGTATGAGAGAAGGGACAGCCTATCACTGTCCCGAGGCCTGGACCCCAGAAGTGCTGGCCTTGGCACCTGCCTCCTGGGGCCACTATCTGATGTGCCCAGAGAAACCCAGACACCCCCCGGCAACAGCTGGTTTGTTTTCCTGGAGGGTCCTTTATTAGTTGAAGCACAAAAGATCACATGGGGTTCCATCCAGAGGTGTCTGAAACCAGGCCAGGATCCCGCATTGGCTTCTGTGGTCAGAGACAAGGTCCCTTCTGTGTCTGTTTGGTTCAGCCTGCAGAGCCCACACTCAGAACTCTGGCGTTCACTACGTCTTCCTTCCTCCGGTCAGAGCCTGGAAGACCCTCAGACCATTGCAGCAAGCTCTGCTCACCCTTGGAAAAGACGGGAACACGGAGGTCGGGCGTGGTCGCTCATGCCTGTAATCCTAGCACTTTGGGAGGCCGAAGCAGGTGGATTACTTGAGGCCAGGAGTTTGAGACTAGCTTGGGCAACATAGTAAAACCCTGTCTCTACAAAAAAATAGAAAAATTAGCTAGGCGTGGTGGCGCATGCCTATAGTCCCAGCTACCTGGGAGGCTGAGGCAGAACTGCTTGAACCCAGGAGGCAGAGGTTGCAGTAAGCCGAGATTGCACCACTACATGCCAGCCTGGGTGACCACTCCAGCCTGGGTGACAGAGCAAGAGCCTATCTCGAGGAAAAAAGAAGAAGAAGGAGAAGAAGGAGAAGGAGGAGAAGGAGGAGAAGGAGGAGAAGGAGGAGGAGAAGGAGAAGGAGGAGGAGGAGGAGAAGGAGAAGGAGAAGAAGAAGAAGAGGTCGAAAGAGAAGGGATGCAAACAGGAGAGTGTGAGGGGGCTTAGGCGACAGCCATCCTCCTGAGACTCAGCCTAGAGTCACCACATCCATTTCCTCATGCCCCCATGGTTCACGGGGCATCATGGCGAGCCTTAGGATTGGTAAGTGACGAGAAGCAACGTGGAAACACCAAGTGCAGTCCCAGAAGCCACAGAAGGTTAGATGGTGCCTCCCAGAAAGTGGACAGATTACAATCTGGCACCACAGCAAGAGTCCTGGTGACCTCTCTGCTCATTCATAGTCATGGCCACTGTCCAGGAGGCCAGCAGGTCAGAGGTGGAGGCCCCTGCTGGAAAGGGGCAGAGAAGAAAGAGGTTCTGATTTGGGGTTTTTTTTTTTTTCGTTTTTTAACACTTTTAAAAATTCTACTTTTTTTCCAGACCTCACCGGGATAGAAGGAAGAGGTTTTGTGAATCTCCCAGAAAAGCAGATGATGGCATTGAAATATTTAACATAAATTAATTGTGAAGGAAATCTGTCTACGAGATAGTGCAGATGAGCCCTCTGTCACCGGGTCCCTGTGTGACCTTAGGCAAGTCACTTTGCCTTTCTGTGCTCCTCAAATGAGGGGGTCAGGGAACATGGTCCCTGAGTTCCCCCCAACTCTAAGACTCTGGTTGTAAGTCACCTCCAACATTGTCCCGACCCTTGGCTTCCAGTCTGGGATGAAACCAGACACGTTGATGTCATGGTTCTTCCCAAGCAATCAGCACCCTCCCCCGGACCGCTGAAGACGCCCCACAGAGGGTTCCTGCCCAGTCTGGAGTCAGACATATTGGGGTCCACTAGACTCCCCATCTGCTGAGCAAGTGACCTTGGGCAAGTTGCCTCACCTCGTGGGGCTTGTTTCCTCACATTGCCATGGCCTCACTGAGTGGTTTTTGGGGTGCAGCGGAGCCATATGCATAAAGCTCTTTGCATAATTGAGACATGGAAGCGCCAGTGATTGTTTTCCTGGAGCCCACCAACCTCTCAGAGAAGCCGGCAGCGGTTTCTGGCACGTCCAACTCTCCGCAGGAGTGCTCGCTGAGCCAGCAGAGTTGCAGAGGCCGCTGGTTCGGGGGAAGCCCAGGGTGACCAGGGGGTGCAGTCAGTGTCCAGCAAGAACACAGCCTGGGCCTGAATGCTCCAAGGACACCAGCCCCATGCAGGTACCCCCACTTCCCAGCCCCATCTCCCCTAGAAGAGAAGTCAACTCCTCCAGCACAGATGTGGGATGAGATGGTAGGCTCAGCGAGCCCCCAGTGGAACTCCACCTCCAGGCTCCAGGCCTGGGGATCATCAAATACTAAGCCAACATCAGCCTTTTAGTTTTAATTGAAACAACTACTATTTTTTTTTTTTAATTTTATTTTTTTTTAAGACGGAGTCTCGCGCTGTGTCACCCAGGCTGGAGTGCAGTGGCGCGATCTCGGCTCACTGCAAGCTCCGCCTCCCAGGTTCACGCCATTCTCCTGCCTCAGCCTCCAAGTAGCTGGGACTACAGGCGCCCGCCACCACGCCCGGCTAGTTTTTTGTATTTTTTTAGTAGAGACGGGGTTTCACCATGTTAGCCAGGATGGTCTCGATCTCCTGACCTCGTGATCCACCTGCCTCGGCCTCCCAAAGTGCTGGGATTACAGGCTTGAGCCACCGCGCCCGGCCGAAACAACTACTATTAAATATAAAATAAATACAATAACAGTCGGCTGGGTGCAGTGGCTTATGCCTGTAACCCCAGCACTTTGGGAGGCTGAGTCGGGCAGATCACTTGAGGTCAGGAGTTTGAGACCAGCCTGGCCAACATGGTGAAACGCCATCTCTACTAAAAATACAAAAATTAGCCAGGCATGGTGTGTGCGCCTGTAATCCCAGCTGCTCAGGAGGCTGAGGCAGGAGAATTGCCTGAACTCGGGAGGCAAAGGTTGCAGTGAACTGAGATTGCGCCACTGCACTCCAGTCCAGCCAAAAGAGTAGAACTCCATCTCAAAAAATAAATAAATAAAATAAAATAAGAACTCTGATGGCAACAATTGCAGCATAAGGGTGAGTCATTTATTTACTAAGAATGCTTTTAATGTACTAAAATTAATTTTACTAAGGAATTTAAAACTTAAAACAGCGATGCAGACATATGGACCAAATTGTATAAACATATAATGCAGTATAAAATAAGAAGTCATTCTCTGCCACTCTGGATGCCAGCCACTGTCGCTGGTTTGCTGCTTGTCTTTCCCCAGAAGGGTTTGCCATTTTGAGACTATTTTAAAATGCTGACTTCAGGTTCATGGAGAGTAGCATGATGCCATCTACATCATGCCTCTGGCTTTTTAAAAAATAATGAGCACATATTACTTCTGTACACACACACACACACACACACACATTATTTTTTAAAAGCAAGAGAAAATCAATTAAGAAGAGCCTACAGGTTGGGTGAGGTGGCTCTCACCCATAATCCCAGCATTTTGAGAGGCCGAGGTGGGTGGATCACTTGAGGCCAGGGGTTCAAGACCAGCCTGGCCAACATGGTGAAACCCTGTTTCTACTAAAAATACAAAAATGGGGCCGGGCACAGTGACTCACACCTGTAATCTCAGCACTTTGGGAAGCCGAAGCAGGTGGATAACGAGGTCAGGAGTTTGAGATCAGCCTGGCTAACATAGTGAAACCCTGTCTCTACTAAAAATACAAAAATTATCTGCGTGTAGTGGCCTGCAACTGTAGTCCCAGCTACACGGGAGGCTGAGGCAGGAGAATCTCTTGAACCCAGGAGGCGGAGGTTGCGGTGAGCCGAGATGGCACCATTGCACTTCAGCCTGGGAGACAGAGCAAGACTCTGTCTCAAAAAA